ACCATTTAGTGCTTTTTGTGTGACAAAAGATAGTTGTATTCAATTTTATGTTTTGACATAGCAATATTAGAAAAACCAGAATAAAAGAATATACTCATGTGCCTTTAATTTTTTCAATGATATCGCACGACAAATAATGTGTTTTGTGTTGTTTCCCTTTGTTGAAAAAACAGTCTCCCTTTTTCCAAAATTTGTCTCCCTTTTTTTTCTTAGTTGGCATCTCTGGTAGTCGACGCCATTTTAATCAAAATGAGAAACCATGTTGTGCTTGTTGCACATATACATGCACTCTGTTAGGTTGCTCAATTCAGTGATAGATAGAAGAAATATCGCAAGTGAATAATATTCTTGAAAAGTTATTATTTGTTTGTGATTATGAATTTGAGCAGAGGAGATTTTTGTTTTACCCCCGTGTTCCTTTCAAAGAAGTATGAGAACACCACTTCATCATAGATCAGGCACATAGCTGCGAACAACATTATTAACGGGTGATGCAAAAATTCTTTTCCTTTTTTGTTTGCTTTATGTCTCAGTCCAGAAACATCGTGCACACTCACTATTTTTCCATTAGAAAGAGCTGATCTAGTCTGACACCAACCAGTTGGAAAAAGAGATATTACTTTTACAAGCCATCAATAACCCATTTTTAAAAATCACGTGTGAAATCACACATGATTATCACACGATGTGATAATGAGGACTGCATACTTTGTTTGATCAGTTTCTTGTTTGTTTTTAGAGTTTTCTTGGCATATTATATATCAATATACTCGTCACAATTCTGTGACACTCGAATGTGCTACATACTGCATAATTACAGTGATCATTGGAGTTTAGGTGAAAAAACTAAAAAGGTTAAATCTGTGTCAAAATGGAATCTTCCATACTTTATTACTTAAAGCCAGTAGTTTCTATCCTAATCAAGGTCGTCGCGGTAGTACATTCAAACAGCTTTCATTTGATGTACGGGATATCGACTAAATCTTTTTCCTTCGCAGAAATAAACTGTTCTAATTTAGACTCATCAGAGTATTGAGTAATTTCACACTAGTGTCATCATTTTTTCCACTGGACACTTTTTACTTTAAAAATGACGACAAGATTTTCTTTTTAAATTCTCCTACTACAAAACCGTATTTGAAGTGACTATATTAATTGACTATCTGGTGCAAGAGGGGAATATTTTTCTTTTACAAATGGGTTATTGACGGCTTGTCTTGTCAAAGTAATATCTCTTTTTCCAACTGGTTGGTGTCCACTGTTCTTATATATTTTTGTAGACTAGAATCTGTTCTTTCTAATGGACATAGAAGTAAGTGTGCACAATGTTTCTGGACTGAGACATGGAGCAAACAAAAAAGGGAAAAAGCTTTTGCATCATCCGTTAACTATAGTAGTTACAAATTTTCTTTCGTGAAAAAAACTTTTATAATTTATCATCAGTTTACATCTGCGTTTTTCCTTGAATAAATCAAGTTTTATTTGCTTTTCTATTTCTAGTAGACATTCATAATGCTAATCTTGAGAAAGTCCCGAAAGTTTTCTTTTCAGAGAAAAATGCTTTTTGTTGTGAATTTATTGAATTGAGCTTTCTTCAAGAGAAATCAATCACTTTTTGTCTACTCAATAAAGAAAAAAGCGCGAGCACAAGAATAGAATAAATGACTAATAAGGTGCTTGTCTGTTAACACACCAACTATCGGAAAACTTAGTTTTCGTCATAATTTTTCATTATAAACTCGATGAAGTAGTCTGATACGATCTCCGAACATAAGGAAAAGAGACAGGGAATTCGAAATGGAGTTCGTATTGACACAAATCAATGAAATATAGCAAAAAACAGGGTGTTCGGAATGAAATTTGTCCAGGAGTTCGTAACGGACTCTGACAATCGCTTTGTAAAGGTTGAACAGCGAAATTTTGACTGAAGATCGGAGTGAGAATGTCCGGAAATTCGTAATAACAAAGACAGGGAGGTCCTAATGAAAACTACAGGATATTCGGAATTATGTTCAGTTTGCTCATCTCTGAGAGAATGTGAAGTGACACGCTAGTCTTGCAGCCTAAGATGGTGATTTTAAAAACTCCCTGTCAATGTCATTCCATTCTTCTGATCTTTTTCTGTAAAAAGTACCCTTAGACTTACATTCCGAACTCCTGACCTTGGTCATTGCAATCTCCGGGCGCTATATCAGATATAGTAAGGAGCATTCTCTTCTGAACATCCGGTCAAACCAGTCCGATTTTTCTGCTTTTCCATTACGATCTCCCGTACGAAAATGTTTACGAACTGCCGTCATAAGTGTTTTAAGGACAAAAACTCATGTCCGAACACCCAGATATATGTTCGGAGTTCGGAATGACTTAAGACGAGAACTAGCTCAGGACTGATAGATATCGCCACTGTAAGCTAGAATCATTTGTTCAATTATACTTTACTGATTGCAGATCTCCTATTGAAGGTCTAACAAGGGAACCTCCCCAGATTATAAATCGCTTTCGGGCTAGAACCTAGTGGGCCAGAGGTAATCAAGAGTGCTGATTTCGAATATTACAATCATTTTGGCCGACAGATCTTCAGAGACCGGATTTCTGGAAAACCAGTGTTTCAAAACTCCTAAATAATAACCAAAACCTTTGTTAACGAGGCAGGATTGTAGCCCGAAGATTTTTAGTTAAAGATTCTTCTTATTTCTGTAGCTTTGAGCTGACAATGAACATTTAGGGCTTTTCTTGCAAACTCTATAATTTTGCAAAGAAAGATCGTGTAGGAGCTCGGAGAGGTTTAATCAGAAATCTGCGGGCTACAATCCTGCCTTATTAACAAAGGTTTTGGTTATTTTTTAGGAGTTCTGAAATACTGGTTTCCAGAAATCTGGTCTCTGAAGACCTATCGACCAAAATGATTGTTATATTCGGAATCAGCACCCTTGATTACCTCTGACCCACTAGGTTTTAAGCGATTTACAACGTGGGGAGGTTCTCTGTGATTAACCTCGAAATAAATACTAAAAGGAGGGAGCAGATAGCATTATTTGACAGTCAAAATGCAGTTTGCGCATAATTTCAATAAAATTTATCGGTGATAAGATTTGTAAGTTTTCTTTCTATATTTTTCCCTGTATTGTAAACGAATTTGAGCCGCATTAGAATATTCTTCAGTCACTAGATAGAATGAATGTTTTCTGTAATGAATCCGCTTAAGTTGTATTCATTCATCTTTCTTTGCATTAGTTCTCAAGAAGTAAAATAATCGAGAACACTCCAGAATTGAAATCAGTTGAAAACATACCAGTCGAATCAAATTAGTTGACTAAATTTTTTTTGAAAATTTGTTGATGATTAAAAACTAATAGATTATTTCTTTTATTGCTAAAAAATGAATATTATTTCCATGCATCATTAATGGATGTCCTTATGGGTTTCTATTGGATTTCAAAGGATTGTTCTTCGATTCAGATCAATAATTTCGAGAAAACTAATCGGCTGGCGATGAAACGTATTGGAAAAAAAGAATTCTTTAGCTGTATGGAAAGGCACAACGACTTTCTACGTAATTTCACAAGGTTCTAACAATAAGAGAGAAAAGTTGATTCTCGTTCCCCGGTATAAAGATGATCGTGAGAGAGTCGGTTCTGATACGTAGTTTTCGACTGCATCAGTAGAATAAAACAGATATTTTTTAAACTACTATTGGAATGAAGTTGTTATAAGTCAATTTTTGCTCAATAAATAGGGAAAAAGGGGTGCTTTTTCTAGCAACAAAATCTTTAAAACTCGGTACGAAGACAGTGGCAAACTGACAGGTTGAACAGTTCAACCGGATCGACGATCTGTTAGTTTGATTCCAACTACTTGCTAATTCGGAAGGATCTAAGATAATAATATCTCAAAAAGTTGACATGCAGTTTTCGAGGGGACAGCTCGCAAAATCCAGAATAATACTACGGGGACTACACTTTTGGCTAAACAAAACGCACTTTGGTACTTGTTCTCGCGGCATTCGAACACGCTTCGACGGCACTTTCATTTCATATCAAAGTGAGATTGTTTCTCCGAGGTTTCATCAAATTATACCAGTTTCAAAACATGATTTTGGATAGATGAAGATCATAAAAGATTTTTATGCTAAAAAAATCGAGAAAAAGTTAAGTTTTTGTGGAACATATCCATCTTTGTACGCTTTTTTCGGCTATCATTATTAGGAAGATCCAAAGTTGTTGGTAAAGGCGGTATGTCAATATCCGAGGACTCGTAAGTTCGTCCTTTGAGCCGTTTTTTTCAACAAGTTATGCACACTTTTTTTCAAAAACCGATAAATTCCTACGTAACTCGATACGGGCAAAACTATATGATGGGGTCTAGACATATTCTTGATCATGTAGATCTAGCGAAGCTACGTGGAAATAGCCTTCTCGATTTTATGAGGGTCATTAAACATACGCTATTTGACTATAATGACAAAGAGTGCAACGTCAAACTTTTAATTAAGCGAGTAATAGACGGTAGTATTTTGTATTAATTATAATTCCCTAGTACATTGCCTCTGAGTTAAGAAAAAAATAGTGAGCGCTATACTTCTGTATTTTGAATATAATTCTCACATTTTTACATTATGTAATAAGAGCTTCTATTCGGTCCGATGTACAAGGTGATATTAGTTTATCGAAATCTAATTGATTGATCCTCTCGCTAGTTTATCTTCACTGGTAAAAAAGGAATCCTTTCAGACCGTGCCCCGTCAGATGACGTATTTGAAATGCGTATTTTAAGCATACTCAGCATAATATGTTCATTCACGGTACTTTTTGAAATTTGATTTCTCAACATTTAGGAATGTCTATATTTTAGATCGAATTTAGATGGCTATTGATCACATTGTGTCTATCTGCATCGATGTCGAATTGATGCTGAAAATAACATGTTCATTTTGAGGGGTATAGTAATGATATTCTTGTGTTTACTTTGATCTAGACACTTTTTCATATTTAGTTCTATGCATGATCACTATGCTATCTTGCCTTTCAAATATGTTTCAACTGACAAATTTTCATTATGAGTATCCAAATGCCAAATTTCTATTAGCTACATGTGGTTCATCGATTGTATTGAAATGTCCAATTGGCGTAGATAATACATCAGTAGTAAGTGTTGCTTGGGTTGGTGATAGAAAGTAGAGAAATTGAATTAATCGAAGTAATTCATTGTATATTTAGACGACATGGTTTCGTCTATTTGATAATGCTTATCCTCAACCATTATTTCTTGGCGATAGGCAATTGACTGACGACGAACGTTTCATGTTAAGAGTTCAATCTGGAACAAGTGATAATATAGTCTATCGTAATCTTGAAATAAGTCAGTTGTACAAAGGCGACGAAGGATATTATATTTGCAAAGTAGCAAAACATATCCATGCCAGTTTCAATGTGACTGTAAGAAGTAAGTAAACTGCATATCTATTCTTTGCCGTTTACATAATATATTCTTGTATTCTTTCAGCTAGTTCATGTATTGATATTGTACCATCATCAACATACGTCACAATAGGCGAAACATTTCGTCTAACTTGTCGCGTTTGGGGTGTGGAGTTTATTCGATCAATATTTCCTGTGAATTCATTTAATGTTCAATGGTATCGAAATGAACATCCGTTAAATATGAGTACACGAACAACAATGTATAGTGATCACGATTCAAAAACATATGACATCCTCGTCATTAATAATGCTCATCGATCAGACACAGGAATATACAAATGTAGATACGGAGGGTGGAATACAACAGCCCACGTTACAGTAACTTACAGTACGTATTGGTAAAAATACTTTCTCCCTCCTGATTAACAAACTTAAAACAAAGGGTTAACGGTTTCTTTTATGTTTTATTTGAAAATCTTTGACTTTTCCCATTAGATATGAACTCTTTTTGACGTTCAACCTCTTCTCTCATTGTATTATATATACATGATTGCTGTTTGATTTTAGATCCAGTAAAATCTCGTCGTTTGATATCACAGCCTGCAAACAGTTCAGCATGCATTACAGCCAATTATCTGACGTTCGTCTCTATTTTATTTTGTCAAACGTTTTTCTTCATTTTCAAGTTCTTTTGTTGTTCTCGTGTGTCCATGTAAAAGATTTTTTTTGCATTATATGTTGTATTTTTTCTGACAGCTTTACAGTGTTGCTTATTTGATATTTTTCTTTTGATTATCCAGCTTGCATTTGATTATCCAGTCTCCTTCTATGATCATAGAATTAACATACCGGAGTTATCCACTAGGAAATGTCATTCAAAGAGGAGAGCGGCTGAAACAGAGGATTCGTAAAACTTTCAAAGATCTTCCTCTTTGTGGCATTTTTGTAATTTTGAGCCGTGCACTCTGTATATTTGCGGAAGAAAATAAACTTTCGATTGATCTTGTTTCCAGTGGATCAAACAATCAGTCTTGTTTTTCTCTGAGTTATGTTGTTACTAAATTTAGAATATGATAGGCGCCGTGAAGACGTGTCTTACTAATTAACTACTCTAACAAAGTAAAAATATTGAAATTTGAGTAATAAATCTGATAAAACAACTCTAAATTTCTTCATAATCTATCAAACAATTAGTGAAATTTTGGGCACAACATCAAGAGAAATGGAGGATAATCCTCCTGATGGAGGAACAATTCACCGTAAGCGTAAAAAATCAACGCAACGAGATGATGAAAGAAGAAGCAAGTCAAGGGCCACAAATCATCCACAGCGACAGCAACATCCGCAACTGACAAAACCACCAGCACATCTGGTTCCACTCATTTTACAAGGTGTTAAAATTACTCGTTTTCAGCTCAGCAAACTTATAACGAAAAACATGCCGGATGTGAAATTAACAAACATTCAGAGTAATAAAAATAATACATTTACCATCTTTGCTAGCGATGTAAACAGTTACGATCGAATACTACGAGATTTAGCCAAACAGAAATTTGATAATGAAAATGACGTCAAGGTGTATATTCCAAGATCGATCCAGAAGGTCCTGGACGCTGATAAACAGGCTTTCTTGAAACGGGTTGATGTTGAAATAACAACACCAGCGATTGAAAATGCATTAACAGCAGCAGGATTTAAATATGAAAAACTTGAACGCTTACAAAACTTCAAAAAGGACGGTCCAGGTACAACAGTTAAACTTACATTTGCTGATTCATTCAATCGTGGTACAATTGTTCGTACTGGACTACATTTACAACATTTAAATATCATAGCTGAACCAGCCAAGTATTTAACAAAGCTTATGTGTTCTCAGAGTAAGACCGTTGAAGAGCACTCTAGTGTAATTCTGTACTATTATGGTTAGTACAACCAGGGAATCTGCTGGTATGATAACTCCAATGGAAATGTTAGTGCTAAATATGCGACGCATAACTGCTAAAGCCACCAAACTTTTTAACTCTATTTTGACAAAATTTGAATTGCTAAGGCAATGTGTGACCAGTCAGACCCTGTTTTTGTTGCTATCACCGAGACATGGTTAGACTCGTCTATAACAGAGCAAGACATTACTATGAATGGCTATACCCTACACCGGTTAGACCGTAATCGCGAAGGCGATGGATGTCTCGTGTACCATAAAGACCATTTAACAGTAAAAAGACTTTCTGCTGTTGAAGACAACCGTTTTGAAATTATGTTTTTCGAAATTGTACTTCCTAAAATAGGAAATATTTTCTTTGCAGTTATTATCGATCCCCGAGTCTTTCAAACGGCGAAACTGATGAGTATATAGAATTTTTAAGTGACACTATATGTGATGTTATTCGAACGGGATCTTTTGACGGTGTAATATTAGTAGGTGATTTCAATGCACACAGTGACGCCTGGTGTAATTCGCATCCAGAAACGGCAGCTGGCAAAAAGTTTTTTGAATTTTCTGATATTTTCAATTTCAAACAATTAGTGAAAGAGCCTACAAGAGTTAGCAAAGACGGAATGACTAAAACGGTACTTGACTTACCCATGGGGAAATTTTAGTAGGTACCGCGGTGTGTACACGCGTGAATATCGTGAAACGAATTGTGGTCGCACGTGAACATCGTAAAATGGTGTGTGGGCACGCGTGAAAAATATATTCTACGTGTGACAACAGGTGAACTGATTACGAAAACGTTTCACGTCATATTTTTCGCACGTGATCACAGGTAAAAGTCGTGAAGTATGTAGTGGCCACACGTGAATTTTTCATGTTAAAATTTTCGTAAAAAATATCACTTGCGGACACGCGTGAAAATGATTCCCACTGATTTCATTGTGAAAAATATCTTCACATTTATTCGCACGTCAATGTTACGCAACTCATTTCGTGAATAATATTCACGCTTAACCGCAAGCGACAAAATCCTTACGTTTTACGCACGTCCACGTGTGAAACCTTTTACAGGTGTGAAATGTCGTGAAGATTGAACGGCAAGCATAAACACAAATTTCTCCTATATCTTTCGAAAGTTGTACATACATACGGATGAAAAGCTTTGTTGTAGACCGAAGGTATTTTCTGTAGGAATATGCCTAGGAATCATCTTGTTCTCCGGGAGGAAGTATTAACTAAAATAGTTTGGAAAAGTTGAAAACCAAGAAAAACGATTTAGGAAGTTCACGAGTAATCATGCGTGAGAACTTTTTTACATGTGGTAACTCGTGAGGATTGATTCGACAACTATGAATATTAGATTTATTCAGTAGTTTCTCAGGCAAGTTAGCTCAATAGTAGTATCGTAGATTTCTAATTCAAAGTAACCTGGTTCGACTCTTACTTTGTGGTGATATATAAAAAATGTGATATTTTAGAAACTAGTCGTCACACGTGGAAAAAGTTATAGATGAAGTTGCATTGATGAAGACTGCATTATACCTTGACCATGGTGACCATCTATAGTCAGTTGACTATAGATGGTCGGCATGGTCAAGATTTTTTCACACGTAATCACGCGTGAAGGTTGTTCACCTTGTGTACACGTGTGAAGATTTTTCGCGCGTGGCCGCGCGTGTGATGTTGCAACAACACGACCAAACCGCCGTGAAACTTCCTGTCTTTACCTACAAAATTTCGTGAAAGTCCAAGTTGACATTTCACGGTCCCTCACGCGTGAAAAGTCGATAAAATTTCCCCATGGGTAGTGTTTACTAGTTCAAGTAACTTCATAAAAAATGTAGAAGTAGAGGGCGCTTTGTGCGTGAACTGTGACCATAAGATCGTCAGAGTTGCGCTCTCAACTGACGCTACTCGATCATCACCACTGACATGTAAAATGTATAACTATTCTGCTACTGATTGGAACTATTTTCGCTACGAATTAGTGAAATTGCTTAATACTATTGCAATTCTCTTCTATAACTCGACCTGTGTAAATGAGAAAGTGATAATGTTAGAAAATTGTGTAATGAATGCAGTAGATAAATGTGTTCCCTCGAAAACAGTCCGCAAATATTCATTAGACTAGCCATGGTTTACTTAGAAGTTAAGACAACTTTCTCGACAGAAAAAACGCTTATATCGAAAACAAAAACAAACGAATTCCTCAGCATCTTCCAAAGCGAAGTATCAAAAAGTAACTATCGAATTTGAAAAGGCATGTGAAGTTGAGAAAGAAAATTATCTTCAAAAAATACGTCAAACTAACGTATCGAAAAAATCATGGTGGAATTTAGCCAAAACATTATTTCGATGGTCTCGCTCTTCAAAAATTTCTAAGCTGAAAGATCAAAATAATCAGGAATGGTCTGAAGACAAAATGGAAGCACATGTTTGTAATCAACATTTTGCTGCCATATGTATCATGACTACTGCCGATTATGACAAAGATATTCCACCCGATAAACTCCCTCTCTCATCTCCCACATTAGATCTTTTTACAGTAACCACCAGGGTAGTTGAAAAATGTTTAAAAATTAATGTTAATAAAGCTACAAGCCAAGGCATAAGTTCAAAAATTTTAAAAGAAGCTGGGCCTGTTATTGCTGAAGACTTAAAACACATTTGTAACTATTCTCTTTCATCAGGAGTTTTTCCCGATAAATAGAAACTGGGATTAATACATCCACTTTTTAAAGATGGGGATACCACTCTTCCTACAAATTACAGACCCATCACGCTTCTTCCTGCTATGTCTAAGATCCTCGAAAGGTTAGTTTATAATAAGCTTTATAGACATCTGAAAAAACATTGCTTGCTAACACCGTCGCAGTCAGGTTTCATTCAAGGAGACTCTACGACTAACCAGTTGGTTGATTTGGTGCATGAAATCGAAGAAAATCTAGATTCTCATAAATTCACTACAGCTATATTTCTTGATTTTGCGAAAGCTTTCGATAAAGTATGGCATAAAGGACTTTTATACAAACTAAAGCAAAAAGGCGTGAGTCCAGGGCTCTTAAAATGGTTTCAGAGTCATCTAACTGCTCGAAAATACACTACACTTGTAAATGGACAGCAATGTTTTTCGGCAAAGTTCCTGCACGCCCTCAGCTATTATTGAACGGAAATGTGATTCAGTATGCCTTATTTGATGAACTCTATCGACTAAATCCGGCTACATTAGTGGTCGGAGATCTAAACGCTGCGCTATCCAGTAAAGGGTCAAGAAAAACCAACGGAAAAGGTCGGCAGCTGCAACAACTTCTTGAAGACAACATATTTTCGTGCGTAGAAGACGTAATAACAACGTACGAGCATAACTAGTACGAGGAAAAGTTGGATTGGGTTCTTGCAACCCATTCAACTTTTCTTTGTATTATGAACTTGCAAACTCAGCCGCCAATGGATATGAACAGCGGTCATAAACCGATGATATTTAATCTTACATTAGACGCAGATGTCAAGCCACTGAGTCTCCGTCTATCACTGAATTACAAGACCGCAAGTTGGAACGTTTACAGGCAGGAACTCAACCAATTATTATCTCAATGGAATGAAAACAGGTTAATTTGCACACCAACAGATTTGGAAGCATACAATGCATTGATTATGAACAGCATCGTGTCAGCAGTTAAACTAGCTGTTCCTCCTGCTAATACAAAAATTAATTATACATTAAGTAAAGCAACCGTTCATCTCCTAAAGGAGAAACACAGACTCTACAGGAAAATGAAAAAATTTAATTTTCACGAAAACAAAACACTCTATTACAATCAAAAATTACTGTTAGAAAATGCCCTAAGAAATGAAAAATCTGCAAGATTTAAAAAACTGACTGAAGTGCTGTGTAAGCGCAAGATGAACACTGGAAAAGTGTGGACTGTTGTAAAACGGTACTATAATAAAAGAACTAAACAATCTTACAATGGTATATTGAAATACTACAATCATAAAGCTTATACTGACAGAGAAAAATCAGAAATATTTGCTAACTACTTATAATATTTGCTAAACTACTTTTCTCAGGAGGTGTACAGTGAAAAACAAGATATTTTACCTTTTCATCATCATGTATCAAACATCTCTCGGACACAAATGGATAATCTGTTAAAGAAGAAACTTAGAAATATTCCGGAAATAAGCAAGAGCGAGATGATCTGGCATTTAAAACGACTGAAAACTACCTCTTCTGGTCCGGATAACGTCCATAATAGATGTCTTAAAAATTACACACCAACATTGGTAGCTTGTCTAACTAAATTATTCAACATTTCAATCAACATCGGTTACGTACCAAAAGCATGGAAACATGCTTATATTATTCTATTACTGGAACCAAAGAAGAAAAAAGAAGATCCTTCTAGCTACCGTCTCATCAGTTTATTAAGTTGTGCCGGTAAGATTTTGGAAAGGATCATGAAAGATCATATCATGTCAATCTTAGAGGAAAGAAAAATACTACCTCACCACCAGGCTGGATTTCGGCCCTAAAAAAGTACACTGTACAACATTTTAAGATTACAAAATTTTGCCAACAATAATTTGGACAAAATTAATCATTCTGCGGTAATATTCTTTGATATCAAGCAAGCATTCGATAGCGTATGGCATGAGGGACTCATTTATAAATTATTCGACCTGAAGGTGCCGGATTATATCATTCGTTGGTTGATATCTTTTCTCAGCGAAAGAACGGCAGCAATTGAACTGGAAAATCTGCTATCTCGAACATTCGGTCTGAAAAGTGGTACTCCTCAAAGATCACCACTCTCTCTTCTGCTATACATTTTGTTTACAGCTGATTCTATGGATGGATTGCCATTCCACACGGATCATCGACTTTTTGCCGACGATACGGCTTTATGGACATCCTGTAATACTACTTTTGGTTTAAACCGGCGTCTTCAGGAATCCGTGAATGTTTTCGCTCGTTGGTGTGAAACATGGAAGCTCACTTTACAGTGCAGTAAAACTGAAATGCTTTACTTTAGTGTACACCCACGTAAACAATACAAAAATCAAGTACAAGTCATAGTGGGAGCAGCAACTATTCGCCCACAGGCACACGCAAGGCATCTAGGGGTGATTTACGACAAAACACTTTCGTGGAAAGAACATGTGTTCGTGCGAAAAATGATGCGAAACGTTTCCGTGAGCAGTCGTAACACGTGGAATATATTTCGTACGCATGCACACACGCCATTTTAGGGTGTACACGCTGTTTTATATACTAAACTTTCCTCATGGATCGTGCCAAACAACAAAATATTTTTGGTCGAAATTGTATTTTACCAAAAAAAATTTATTTATCGCTGAAATTTTTGAAAAATGCTCTCAGAACCTTTCGAAATACCATTCGAAATACGGCCGAAAACCTCTTAGTACCAGTAACTATTTTACTAGCTAGTCTGTGCTTCGTGCTATCGCGCTTACGACGACTTAAGTGTAAATTTAATTCTGTTTGAGCATAATGCCTTATATAAGACAGTGATAAGGGATCATCACGTAAATGTCGTAATTTAATTAATCATTTTTCTCTGTCAGTAATCTTTCCACTTTGCCCAGCATCTAGCTTTATTTCAAATATATGAAATTTTTCATATTTCCGAAAAGTTTGTATAACACAAGTACATGATTTTTTAGCAATTTCATGTTTAGAGATGTTAAGTCCATGTAAAAAAATAATAATATTTTGTTTAAAAACATAATCAACAGCTTTTCGTTGTGCGATTTCAATACACAATAAAGTGAAAGACAAAACTATAGATTATACGCAGACATTTGATCAGCTCATCACGAATAAAAGCGAAAAAAAAGATTTTGAATAGGATCTTATAAATTTGCCAAGTGACGTGTTTGTTATGACTGATTTCTTCACATGAAGAAAGGAAGATAAAAAGAAACAACACATGTAGTCGGAATAAGAGACTCCCATATACAATATACTCTGTTGATAATATGATAAGGAAATCACATTTAAATTTAATTTCGTTTTCCTCGTAGAATTTTCTTTTATTTTATAAATTTATTTACAACTGCTAAACGTTTCGAAGTCTAAAACCGACTCCTTCTTCAGTAGTACAAATCACTCGTTATTCATATAATTTATACTACTGAAGAAGGAGTCGGTTTTAGACTTCGAAACGTTTAGCAGTTGTAAATAAATTTATAAAATAAAAGAAAATCCTACGAGAAAAACGAAATTAAATTTAAATGTGATTTCCTTATCATATTATCAACAGAATTAACACTACCTCGTAGTCTATCAAATTTATATTACACATTCTTGTATTGTGGTCACAAAAATATATAATATAGGTGAAGAAAAAATAAATAGATTAAAATTAAAAAAGTTCTTATTCAAACACAATGAACATTTTTCTCAAAACATACGACGAGGTCTTATAAGTTAGCCATACCCTGTAATTCTGTTGACTGTTTCTTATGCACCTTTGATAAGAGTCATTGTGTTCACTTTTTTAAAATACTTTTATTGATGTCGTCAATTTGGAAAGGTTGAAAAATGAGAAGTCCTTTCTTCTTCCAAACTTTTCTGTTTCGCCTCCATACTACTGAAAAATTTCTTTTTTTTTCATTCTGTTCAGCTCAGAATGAAATCACATGGGTTTTTCAGAGATAAAATCTGAAAAAACTGCCGGATTTAACTTTTTTAGAGCCTGACTGAATAATTGTTAATAAATCAACAGTATGGCTCAATCATTATGGCTCATCGACATGTATGGCTCCTGATAGTGCCAGTATGCCTCTGAATGAGGACCAGCTGGAAATTTTCTGGCCAATCGCTTTTGTTGGTTGAAAATCTTTCTTAATCGATAGAAAACTGGTGTAAAAACGTTCGATCAAACTCTTTTTCTCAGCTGATGAACAACCGACGCAAAACCCTTTAAAATACAGGTAATAGGTTGAAAGAAATTCTTCTATAAATTCTTATGATTGGCCTTAATGAACGATTTCGATGTGTTTTTCATGGAACTTGATTTCCACTTGACTTTCAATTTGTTTTGTCTAATGGAAAAGATAGGTCGAGTTCAATTATTTTACTGATAGATGAACAGAAATTTATTGTCTTACTTGCTTCTCTTGCTTTTAAATGATATTTATGTGTGCTGGAAAGCGCAAAAATATATTTATTTATATGTGAACGTGTTCTTGTAAACAGAGAGACCTAATATTTTGTCGATCAAGGCTCGAGAAGAAAAAACCGCTAATTACTATCTATCTTAAAATTCGATGCGAGTCTTGAGACAGAAACAAATCATGAAAAAATCATTGTAATAAAAAAAAGTATAGTTTGATGCTAGCAGATTATAACCGATAGTCATCGACCATACTTGTATATGTGTAAAACATTGGTATTTTGTTTTTCGAGTTTTATCAAGCATAAAAGCCTTGAAAAAACTTTTTCAGTCTTAACCGGTCGGATCATTTGCAACATGGTATGCCTGAGGAAAGTTTATGCAGAAAGTTGATTTAAAATAATTAAAAAATTATCTTTGCAACTATATACGTTATAATCGTTCCTTCTGATATATACAGCATACTCAGTAAAAAGCAGCCCTAATAAAAGTCGATTATTAATGCGGTAAGATAGTAATAGACTGTTTCTTTCTAGATCGAAAAAGTGTCATTTTCTGTATCGACTTT